TATAATAAAATCTCCTCAGTGAGGATCAGACAGGATCAGTAGTTATCACAAATCAATAGTACACATAAAGAAACTGATGACATCACTATGCTTGTTAATTACATCAATCAATCATCAATACATCGGTTTACAAAACAATCAATGATATTGATAACATGGAAGCAAACACTGCATGTCTGCTCACTTCAGTCACTATGGCAACCAAAATAGTTGATGTCACATATCAAACTAATGGTGACAGAGTGGGCGGGGCTTAGACTGACCTCTGACCTGAGCAGAAACAGACCTCAGAATGTGGCCCCTCCCCCAGAGGCTGATAGGGGTGAGGCATCAGTTATTTAATGACTATCACTAGCACTATCTAAAGCTACTTACTATTATTCATTGCTCCAGTGCAATAGTCTAACTACCCTAGCCTTGCATTGCATATCAGAAACTAGAGGCTAACAAAGACCTGTTAAACCTGCACCAGCTAACAAGCAGCTGATTGGTTGTGATTGTCGTCTAAAAACTCTGATCCCTGATAAAACTCAACGATATGTTGATTCATTTGAAATGTACGTAGGATCAATCACTCAGCAATAATCATTTAGCTGTGGACGGAAACATTCAACTTTTATGAAAAAGTCAATAATTTGTGGAAAAAGATTTACTGAACACAGTGAATTAAAGTTTAGCAGCTGGAGACAGATTCATATTAATGTTGTTTTATTAATATTTTAATGAGAAGTTAATTTTAAAAAATCACAGTTTGAATCTTTACAGGAAAATAATTGGTGAGTTTGGTCTGACCTCATCATATCGTCTCCGCCCACAGCTGATCAACACTGCTTTCCTATTGGTCACAACTCCTGATTGTCATAAATATTGATCAGTAACTGGGTAATATTGCTCTCAAAGTGACCACAGTGTTTCTTCTGCTGGTTTCAATAAAGCTGGTTCATAAAGTCACAGTTGATAATGCTATGCTAAAAGAAATCTCTGTTTAGCTAGCAGAGCTAAAAAGTTCACTGCGGCACCAACTGGAAGACGTAAAAACATCATCATAATTAACCACACCTCTGACCCTGAGATTCACGTTGCTATGACAACCACCCTACCAACACATCGTTGTAACGCTAAAACTTTATCACGTCTCATCATTGTCAAAGACAATGGTGCAGTAAACACAGGCGTGTTGTATGTTGTATATAAATTAGCATTAAGTGTATGTGAATATATATATATACACTCAGTGTTCGTTGGGCATGTGTCTGATGGTATGGAAGATCCAGTCCATCTTTGTGCTCCAGCCTCCATGGTGAGCATCATTCATCTGTTTAGTGAAATACTCCAATGCCTCCTGCTGGCTTTTCTCTGAAAGACAAAGAGGAACAGACAGACAGGTCAGAGACAGACAGGAACAGACAGACAGGTGAGAGACAGACAAAGTGTCAGAGCAAGAGAAAAAAATACCACAAACTCAACCGGGTCTCTCTCTCTCTCTCTCTAACCCCAGACCAGGGATGTGGCTGTTTGAAGAGCCACTGTTTCACTTTTTCCTCTGCAACACTAACAACTAAGTTTGTTGTGGCTGGCATCATTTTTCAGCCCTGCTGCTGACGGGGGGCAAGGGAAGAGTAGACTGCTCCTTTCCTTCAAAACACCAGAGCTGGGTGTGGGAAAAAGCAGCTTTATCTCAGCTGTGTGAAGGTGCTGAACCTTTGCTCTCTGTTTGGAGTCAAGGAGACGAGGTGGACGGAGGTTTTGCTGCAGGCTGCACCCCTGGGTGACCTCCAGTGGTGGATTCTACCTGGAGCTTTAGCTACGAACAGACAGAGCTCACCTGGACCTGAGCGCTGGAGGGGAATGTGGTTTCTGTGACGACAGGGAGAATCTGGAACACCTAGTGGTGTCTGGTCCTCAACTAGAGGATTGATTTAGACTACTGCAGCAGTGGGGGAGAACTTTTCTGTCCCGCTGTTTCCTAATGGAGCTAAGTTCCACAAAGGAAACAGAGCTATACTGGTCCTGATGAACTTCCTGTTTGGCTAAAATGGCCACATGGAAGAACAGGAAGATCCAGATGTTGGATGAAGGCTGGACAGATGAAGTGTTTTAAAGGTTTGGTATCAGCTCGTCTGAGAATACAAAACACCTTCTACATCCTGACCAGTAACCCGGAAGATTTCTGTGTTATTTCTAAATATAAGGGTTAAGTATCTTAAAATCTTCATCTTAAAAGTAAATAAAAAGTCTCTCTGTCTCTCTCTCTCCACCTGTCTGTCTCACCCAGAGCGAGGGTCTTCCTCAAGTACGCAATGTCATCAAAGCTCTGCAGTTCGGGCATCCCACAGCCGAGGAGGAGGGAGAAGAGGTTGATGAAGAGGCTGGCGTGCTGACGGATGGCGAGATACGCTTTGTAACACATTTCCTGGAACCTGACACACACACAGGCAGACAGACAGATACACAGAGAGTGAGATGGGCAGAGAGTGAGACAGCAGGACCAGCAGACAGGTGAGGTGCAAGCGACACCTGTCGAACTCCTTGGTCTTCGTCGACTCCTGGATTCCTTTACTGATGACGATGAGGAAGTCCTGTGTCAGGACGAAGGGCACACGCTCCCGCTTATACCCAAACTTCTTCTTCTTATGATCCAGGAAGTGACCGAAGTCAATGTGAAACAGCTGGAGGAGGAGGAGAAGGAGGAGAAGGAAGAAGAGGAGGAGGGAGGGCGAAGAGGAGGAGGAGGAAGTGGAAGAAGAAGAGGAGGAGGAGGAAGAAGAAGGGGAGAAAGAAGAGGAAAAGGAAAAGGAAGAGGATAAAAAGCAAGGGGGGAGGAGGATAAGAAGGAAGAGGAACCGAAGGAGGACAACGAATAGGAAGAGGAAGAAGAATACGAGGAGGAAGAAGAAGAAGAGGAGGAAGATGAGGAGAAGGAAGAGGGGAAAGAGGAAAGGGGGGAGGACGAAGGGGAGGAGGAAGGGGAGGAGGAGAAGGAAGGGGAAGAGGAAGAGGAAGGGGAAGAGGATGAAGAGAAGGAAGAGGATAAAAAGCAAGGGGGAGGAGGAAGAAGAGGAGGAGGAGAGGAAGAGAAGGACAAAAACAAATAGGAGGCGGAAGAAGAATAAGAGGAGGAAGATGAGGAGGAGAAAGAGAAAAGGGGGGAGAAGGAAGAAGATAAAGAATGATGTCAGCGGTAAACACTGTGTGATTTGATTCAGATTTTGAACAAATTTCTGATTCAACTTCGATGTTTGTCAAGTT